GGCCCATTCCCATGCCTCAGGTTCATGCCCCACCCCAGCGCCAGGTCAGCCCCCATGAAGCAGACTCGCCCACTGCCCTCCTGCAGACTCCAGCACAAGCCCGCCGTGGATCCAGATGTGAGCCCAGAACCTCTGGGCAGGCTGACTGGTGAAGGGCTTTCCCAGTCCACGTCTGCAAAGACTGGAAGCGGCACCTGCTTCTTCAACCATACAGACTCCAATGCAGAACACAAGGATCATAAGTAATAAGGCTAAACACTATGGAAGAAAAAATAAATGAGGCACTAGTAAATCACCCCAAATAATGGAGCTGCTTGGTATTCATGGCTTGCTTTCTTTTATTTCAAACTTTAATACTTCTACCACTGCACATCTGTTACCTCCAGTTTAAGATAATGCTACTTTACACCCCTGAGTGAAATTGCAGTGCTTCAATATAATGACTAATTATAATTGCTTTGCATTTATTTGTGGATGTAATATTTTTAACTCCACAGTAAAGAAGGTTGGAATCACACGATCTGGCTTAGTTTCTTGGCTTCTAGTTTTCTATCTTCTTCAATTTTACATACTGATGTCCTGAGGTTTTTCTTATTTTAACTGACAGGTTTTACAGTTCATTATCTCAATTAAGTAAATAAAAATTAATTCTGCTTTACAAATATATCAAAAACAATAGTTGCACTGACTAATTATAAATGTCATCAAATGAAGCACATTATGAAATGTCACATAATTGCTTTGGTCTTGATAATTAATATTTTAGAGTCTCTTGTGCCAATTTCTTTATTCAAATATTTCTTCTTACAGTGATTTCAGTATATAAGAGCTCTTTGGTGAATGTTCCAGGAAGGTCATGCTGATAATAAATATGCCTCAAAGAAGCTGTGGTACATATACACAATGGAATATTATTCAGCCATAAGAAGAAAACAAATCCTACCATTTGCAACAATATGGATGGAGCTAAAGTGTACTATACTCAGTGAAATAAGCCACATAGAGAAAGACAAGTGTCAAATGATTTCACTCATTGGTGGAGTATAAGAACAAAGAAAAAAAACAGCAGCAGACTCAAAGAACCCAAGAATGGACCAACAGTTACCAAAGAGAAATGGACTGGGGAGAGTTGAGGAGAAGGGGGAGAAGGGGAATAAAGGGCATTACCATTACCACACATAATGTGTGTGTGGGAGCACAGGGAAGGCAGTATAGCACAGAGAAGACAAGTAGTGACTCTATAGCATCTTACTACGCTGATGGACAGTGACTGTAATGGGGTATGTGGTGGGGACTTGATAATGGGGGAGTCTAGAACCTGCAGTGTGGCTCATGTAATTGTATATTAATGATACCAAAATATTTTAAAAAGTTAAAATAAATAAATAAATAAATAAATAAATAAATAAATAAATAAATAAATATGCTTCCAACTTGGCAGGGAGATGATAACTGCAATATCTCACCTTTCCCTGTATCAAAATATAAAATCTTGAATATGCTACCACAGGACAGATTATGGTACATAAAATCTATTAAATAAATTTCAAAATGTTGTGTCAATTTAATTTTCTTCTTTGATATCAAAAAAATTACTTAGTATACAAAGATGAGAAGACATATTGTTAAACTAGGTGTGTATTATTGCGGACAGAGCACCCTGCTAGTAAGTCAGCTTGTATGCTCCCAATCCCAGTGTCCTTTTCCCACCCTGCCCTCTCCAAACCACACTGCTGCTTGAAAGGCAGCGGACTGGAGTGGGCTGAACATGCCTTGAAATCAGAACTCAGGCTTCATGACTTGCTCTCTATGATGTGTTCATCAATTTACTCAATCTTCTTCTGCATACATTTTGATACAACTAAAACATGATTTATAGCATTGGCAAGGGCATTAATAGTAATAATTAGAGACTCTGGCATATCATTAGGAGTTCCAAAAAAGTAATTGTTTTCAAAATTATGCCATAGAAGTAATTTTAAATAGTGTTAAATGGCAATTTCAAAGCCTACTTTTAAATTTTGAGACAATCTCTGAGTTTTAAATTTAATGTCAGAAATAACCTTTTCAATTCTCTTTAATTAATATTTTGCCCTTTTTGCCTGTTAGCCAGCAGAGGTAACGATTTACTTTTAAAGGTAATTTAAAAGGTGGGAGTACAATAGTAGAGGCCTCTTTCTCCTTTTCTTGCTTTCTTGCTTTTTTGCCTGTTTCCTTTCTCTCTCTTATTACTTCCTTCTTTCCTTCCTTTTCTCTCTCTCCTATTTTTCCTTCCCTCTGTCCTTCCATTTCTTTTATCTTTCTTTCTTTCTTCATTCCTTTCTTCATTGACAATCACTCTGTTACTATTTAGGATAATTCTGACAACTTTGCTTTTGAGAAGAAACTGGTACAATTACCACATAATGTATCTTCTAGATAATTTGTATACTTTTAAATATTATTACATTCCTTCCTTCACCAAAGCACTGAAAAAACATTTGGGTAAGAAATGAACAAGTTTGATTACTTGGAAATACGTTTTAGAGATTCACAATGAGGGAAAACAACACATATCAGTTGGGTTTGAAAGAAGAAGAAAGAGTTGACTTGAAGTGAGAAGATGCAGCATTAAATGTCTGAGAAGGTTAATATTACTGAATTACAGGCACAAAGAATTGAATTAAGTTAGAAGAAGCAGTTATTTAGAGGACTTTCTTCTACATTTTATATGATTCATCAAAGCTTTGATTTCTCTGAGAGAAATGTAATCCTCTTCACGGAGTCATTAAAAGCTTGTTTCACTTGCTTATTCCTCAGGGTGTAAATGAAGGGGTTCAACAAGGGGGCAACAGATGCAGTGAGCACTGAGACGCCTTTGTTTACGGCCACCTCCTCCTTTGCCGAGGGCTTGATGTACATGAAGATGCAGCTGCCGTAGGCGATGGAAACCACAACCATGTGGGAAGAGCAGGTGGAAAAAGCATTTTTTTCTCTGTTGGACAGAGAGGAACCCAAGCATTGTCCTGATGATGTGCGTGTAGGACAGAATCACACACACTAGGGTGATGATGAGTCCAAATACAGACACAATGATAACCACTTGTTCTATTACCCGTGTATCTGAGCATGAGATCTTTAGGAGGGGACCTGCATCACAGATAAAATGATCAACTGTATTGGAGTCACAGAATTCAAGCTGGAGGCCCAAGCTAAGGGGTGGGAGAATGATCACCAAGCCAGACCCCCAACAGCAGAGGACTAATAAGGTACAAACCTTCTGTTCATGATGGACGTGTAATGCAGGGGTTTACAGATAGCAATGTAGCGGTCATAGGACATGGCTGCCAGGAGAAAAAATTCTGTTGTTCCAAAGAGAACGCCGAAAAATACTTGACTGGCACAGGCATTGTAGGTAATGGCATTGTCCCCAGTTGACATGCTGTACAGGAAACTGTTAATATGCAGAAGTAAACAACATTTCTAAGAAAGAAAAATTTCTGAGGAAAAAGTACATAGGGGTCTTCAGATGGGAGTCCGCCAATGTGAGGGTGATAGTAGTCAGATTCCCTGTTACACTCAACATGTAGGTGAGAAATACAAAGACAAAAAGCAGGATTTGCAGTTGAGGATCATCTGTGAGTCCCAACATGATAAAACTTGTTGTTTGTGTGTGGCTCATCATCACTGACTTTGGAACTCTACTTAGTAAGCATGTATAAATCAAAGAGAGTTTAGGAGGAGGTAGATACTCAAATTCAGCCAAAAGCTTTATCATCTGGTTGAAAAACGGAGAGAGGACATGAAGAGATATTTTTCCAGAGAACACCAATGGATAGCCAACAGGCATATGCAAAGGCGCTCAACATAAGTACTCATCAGGGAAATGCAAATCAAACCACAATGAGATATCCCCTCACATTTATTAGAATGGCTATTATCAAAAAGACAAGAAATAACCAATGTTGGTGAAGATGTAGAAGAAAGGGAACCCCTGATCGCTGTGGTGGGAATGTAAATTTGTGCAGCCATTATGAAAATGGTATGGCAGTTCCTAAAAATAACAGTAGAAATACGATATGATCCAGCATGTCCATTTCCAGGTATTTATCTGCAGAAAACAAAATCACCACTTTGAAAAGAAATATGTCTTATGTGTTTATCAAAGCATTATTCATTAATAGCCAAGATATGGAGGCAACCTAAGAGTTCATTAATAGATGAATAGATAGATAGATAGAAATGTGGTTCATATATTCAATGAAATATAATTCAGCCATACAAAAACAAAAATATTATTTGAAACAATACAGATGGATCTATAGGCTAATATACTAAATGAAATGAGTAAAACCCAGGAAGATAAATATCATAGGATTTCACTTACATGAAAAATCTTTAAAAATAAACAAATGAATGTAGAAATAGACTCATAAATACAGAGAACACACTGTTGCTTCTCATAGGGGAAGAAATGTACATAAGGATTAAATAAGCAAAGGGGATAAAGAGATACAAACTTCCAATTATAAAATTAAAAGTCATGGGGATGAAAAGTACACCACAGAAAATATACTGAGTAATATTGTCATATTTGTATGTTGACGGTTGGTAAATACATTGACCATGATAAGCATTTCAAAATGAATAAAATTGTTGAATTATTATGTTGTATACCTGATGCAAATATAACTGTGTATCAACTATGCTACCATTTAAAAAAAGGAAGGTTTTGTTGCAAAGAGTAGAGTGACATGGATACATGGAACTAATGACTAATGTATATGAGACAAGACTAAAAAGAGTTGATTGAAACGAGCAGTTGAGTTACACACACAGAAGTTTCAGAAAAGTAGAGAAATATCCATCTGCAAAAGGCTGGTCCCTCACACTTCTTATTAGACTTTCTGCCTAACTCTCTTCATTGTCCTCAACAGCGTAAGACTGGACAACATCCATGGCTTAATTTCCATCCACATACTGATAACTTTGTTTTTATTTTCAGTTTCTAGTAAGAGAATCTAAAATTTCTTTGGAAGAAGCACAAGTCTTTTGAGGGTGTCGTGGAATGACTGCTTCACTTGTTTATTTCTCAGGGTATAAATGAAGGGGTTCAACAAAGGGACAACAGACACAATGAGCACAGAAACCTGCTTATTATTAATGGCCAGCTCATCTTTAGCTGAAGGTTTGATATATACAAAAATGCAGCTGCCATATGCGATGGAAGCTACAATCATATGAGAAGAACAAGTGGAAAAGGCTTTTTTCATTTGCTGGGCTGAGGGTAATCTTAGAACCATCCTAACGATGTAAATATAGGACAGAACTACACACACTAGGGTCATTAGGAAGGTTAAAACACCACCAAATATAACCAGCTGCTCTATGAACCATGTATCTGAGCATGAATTCTTCAGTATTGGAAAAGCATCACAGAAAAAATGGTCAATAACAGAGTCACAGAATTCCAGATTAAGGCTCAAACCAAGGGGTGGAAGGATGATCAATAAGCCAGATACCCAACAACTGAGGATGAGGTTCCTGCAGACTCTGCTGTTCATGATGGTCACATAATGCAGGGGTTTGCAGATGGCCACATAGCGGTCATAGGACATCACAGCCAACAGAAAATATTCTGCAGCTCCAAAGAGGACAATAAAAAATATTTGGCTGAAGCAGGCTTTGATACTGATGGCTTTGTTCCCACTTGATATGATGTACAGGTATGTGGGGACACAGGCCGTTGTGAGTGCAATTTCTAAGAAAGAGAAATTTTGAAGAAAAAAATACATAGCTGTTTTTAAATGAGAATCCCCCAAGATAAGCAAAATTATGGTAAGATTCTCAATTAAACTTAATGTGTATGATATAAACAGAAATAGAAAAACCAAAATCTCTAGCTGTGGGTCACTTGTCAGTCCCAGTAGGTTGAACATTGTTATTGCTGAATGGTTTCTCATCACTGACTTCGTCTATTACCAATCTTCACATAAAAGTCACAGAAATGGGATCTGAAGAACAACATCAAATAGGATTGCATGAGACAGTGTCTATCAACACCAAGCAAACCCAGTCACATGCATTTCCTTTTGTAAGATGGGTTTTGATGTGGTAATTCCCTCAGCTGCACTGAAATCTGCCCCATGGAATCTAAGCTTCTTAAAAGTTTTCTCTTGAAAATTACTGCTACTGAGATTGTTTTAAACATTCCAGGTTCTCCCAATTCACAGCATTATTCCCAATTAGTTTTTTAAGTCCATACTTTGGTTGAGATTTCCCCTGTAGGATCAGGAATTGTTGGCTTTTGAGGCATGGGGCATAGTCTTCTTATTCCAAAAACTCTTACACACAAAAGTTAAATCCTAAAATTCCTTTACCTCAACTTGTAGTACCTGATAAAATGGAAATGGATGGGAGATGGTGATTACATCCTACCTAGACTCTCCAGATCCCTCCTCTAGTTTGCTATGTATTATTTAAAGGTCAAGTCATATTTCTTCCAGAAATTAGTCCTTCAACAGCTTTTCTTCTAATTTTCTGTAACTTCCTCTATTATTCCTTATTTTCTTTCTCTACTTCAGCAGAGAGGGCCTTAATGCCTGATTATTTCAATATAACATGAGAAACTATGTGTAAAAGTCATAAATACATGAAAGATATCAAGACACTTTGCTCACCTTCCTTTAGGACAAGATGTATGATCATGTTTCAGTGACACACAGTGGTTAGCTATATGGAACCTGGAAGGAACAGTCTTTCTAGGATCAGGTCACATCTCTGCCATCTACTAGTTAAGAGACCTTGAACAAGTCATTTAATCTCCCTGTGCTCCCAGTTTCCTAATCTGTAAAGTGGAGATGCCTTTACAGTGGAATTAACGGAGTAATAGTAATAGAGTTACTATGAGGTTAAAATGAGTAGTATCGACTCCCTTCAAGGACAGTTCTACTTGGAACATTTCCAGGACACAGATATCATGAAAGTAAAAGGGACATTAAACTGTATTTATGAGGCAAAGTGTTTGCAAACAGGAGATGCTTGTCCTTAAAGAGGGGAGATACATGAAAATGGAATGTTTACCAAAAGTTAATTGAGATATGTGTGATGTAAATATATTGATAGATAAAACAGGTAAATAATACAGAGACAGGAGAGTAGAGGAATACACAGGGAGAGATGAGAAATTTTTTTTCTGCAAATCATTCACTATGTGTGATTGCACCAAATCAATAATGCATATAATGAGTCCTAACATCATTTTCAATCTGGTGGGCTTGAAAACATCCCATGATTTGCCTTTTACATTTTTTCATTAATTCACCGAGAAACTATAGCTAAAATGACCTAAAACCTACCAGTAGGATCATCTAAGTGCCTTCCTAGCCACTTGCTCCCAGAGACATACTCACCACATATGTACACAAAGTTTCTGGATTTATGAGAAATGTCATCTTAATGCCTAGAAATGTATCCTAATTAAAATAGGATAATTTCTTTATATTTTGGGTAGTTAAAAGGCAGATAATAAAGTCACAGTGCAAGTAGGAGCTGAGAAGAGATCTGGCTCTGCAAAAGTTAGTGGTTTGATTTTATCCAAACAGGTTTTTATACCGACGGCGCAACTTGTAAGTCCATCTGTAACAGCTGTGTAGAAAATGGCTGAATAAAAAAGCCCTTGGAGGACCTGATTCAAAGCCTCTGATGAATATAAAATATGATGTACTTTGCCATAAAAATTCCATGTAAAGCACCAATAGGGATAATGTCCTTAGAGAATAAGAAACATTAATAGCAACCAGCTCCGTCCAAGTGCAAAAAATGTTTCCAATGATAATTCAGAAGCAGATTCTTATATATTTGTTCACACATGGTTTTTGCAATGCAATGAGTATGAAGACAGCCTTCTGATCTAAACTTATACTAATAATAAATATTAAATACGGAAAAATTCAAATGTACATGCGGAAACTAAAGAAATTTATAGAAACAGTAATATCCAGAATAAACATTATTATTTTGATGTTTTCCTTCCAAATATTGCCCATAGTAATATGTAAGTGCTGCACTTATTACAAGTTTAATACAAAGAATACCACACAGGAGCAGCCCAATGGGAGCCATTCAGAGGGCAAGGAATGGGGGATTGGCAGGCAGGGAATTTCCATGCACTCTCTTGGTGTACCACCCTCCCAGGACGATTTTTTTTATTTATTAAAGTATCATTGATATACAATCTTATGAAGGCTTCACATGAAAAACATTGTGGTTTCAACATTCACTCATATTATCAAGTCCTCGCCACCCTCATTGCAGTCACTGCCCATCAGCATAGTAAGATGCTATAGATTTATTGCTTGTCTTCCCCATGCTGCACTGCCTTCCCTGTGACCTACCTATATTGTGATTGCAAATTATAGTGCCCCTTGATACCCTTCTCCCTCTCTTCCCACGGAACATCTGGAACCCTTTCCTTTGGTAACCACGAGTCCCTTCTTGGAGTCTGTGAGTCTGCTGCTATTTTGTTCCTTCAGCTTTGCTTTGTTGTTATTCCACAAATGAGTGAAGTCATTTGGTACTTGTCTTTCTCCACTTGGCTTATTTCACTGAGCATAACACTCTCTAGCTCCATCCATGTTGTGGCAAATGGTAGGATTTGTTTTCATTTTATGGCTGAATAATATTCCATAGTGTGTATGTACCACATCTTATTTAGCCAGTCATCTACTGATGGACACTTAGGTTGCTTCAATACCTTGGCTACTGTAAATAGTGCTGCAATAAACACAGGGGTGCATATATCTTTTTGAATCTGGGATCTTGTTTTCTTTGGGTAAATTACTAGGAGTGGAATTCTGTGTGGAAAGGAATTTCAATTTTTAATTTATTGAGGAAACTCCATATTGTTTTCCACAATGGTTGAACTAATTTACATTTTTGCCAACAGTGTAAGAGGGTTCCCTTTTCTCCACATCCTTGCCAGTGTTCATTGTTTCTGGTCTTTTGCAAGTTGACCATCTTAACTGGTGTGAAATGATATTTCACTGTAGTTTTATTTTACATTTCCCTGATGATAAGTAAGGTGAAGCTTATCTTTTCATGTGTCTGTTAGCCATCCAAATTTCTTGTTTGAAGAAGCATTTGTTCAGAACCTCTGCCTATTTTTTTACATTGTGTTATGTGTTTTTTGGGTGTTGAGGTGAGGGAGCTTTTTATATGTTTCGGATGTTAATCCCTTATTGGACAGGTTATTTATGAATATATTCTATCACACTGTAGGGTGACTTTTTGTTCTGCTGATGGTGTCTTTGGTGTACAAAAGTTTTTTAGTGTGATGTAGTCCCACTTGTTTATTTTTTACTTTGTTTTCCTTGCCTACAAAGATATGTTCAGGAAAAAATTGCTATGAGAGAATTTTGCCTATGTTTTCTCTATGAGTTTTATGAAGTTTCATGACTTACATCCAGCTTCAGGTCCTTGTACTATTTGAGTTTACTTTTATGTACAGAGTTAGACAAAAACCCAGTTTCATTTTCTTACATGTATCATGTTTTACCAACACCAATTGTTGAAAAGGCTGTCATTTCCCAATTGCAAATCCATAGCTCCTTTATCATGTATTAATTGGCCATACATATGTGGGTTTATATCTGGGTTCTGTATTCTGTTCCATAGGTCTATGTGTCTGTTCTTGTGCCAGAAACAAATTTTTTTGATTACTGTTACTTTGTAGTCGAGCTTGAAGTTAGGGAGAACAATTACCGTTTTGTTCTTCCTTCACAGGATTGCTTTAAGTCTGTAGATTGCTTAGGCAGAAAGGCCATTTTGACAATATTAATTCTTCCTATCCATGAGCACAGGATATGTTTCCATTTATTGGTGCCTTCTTTAATTTCTCTCATTAGTGTCTTGCAGTTTTCCAAGTATAGGTCTTTCACCTCCTTGGTTAGGTTTATTCCTAAAAGAATATTTTATTCTTTTTGATGCAATTATAAATGGAGTTGTTTTCCTGTTTTCTCTTTCTGCTAATTCATTCGTAGTATACAGGAATGCAACAGATTTCCTTGTATTAATTTTGTATCCTGCAACTTTGCTGAATTCAGTTATTAGTTCTAACAGGTTATTTTGTGGAGTCTGGGGTTTTCTATGTATAATACCATGTTGTCTGCAAACAGCAAAAGATTTACTTCTTCTTTACCAATTTGGATCCCTTGTATTTCTTGGTGTCATATGATTGCCATGGCTAGGACCTCCAGTACTATATTGAATGAAAGGGGGACATTGTGCATCATTATCTTTTTCCTGGTGTTAAAAGGAAAGCTTTCAGCTTCCTGCTATTAAGTATGATGTTGGCTGTTTTTTTGTCATATATAGCCTTCATTATGTTGAGGTGCTTGCCCTCTATACCCATTTTGTTGAGAGTTTTTATCATGAATGGATGGTGAATTTTGTCAAATGCTTATTCAGCATCTATTGAGATGCTCATGTAATTTTTGTCCTTCTTTTAGTTGATGTGGTGAATGATGTTGACTGATTTTCAAATATTATACCATCCTTGTATCCGTGGAATAAATCCCACTTGGTCATGATGGATGATCTTTTTTAATTTGGTTTGCTGATACTTTGTTGAGTATTTTTGCATCTATGTTCATCAGGGATATTGGTTTATAATTTTCTTTTTTTGTGGTGTCTTTATCTGGTTTTGGTATTAGAGTGATTCTGGATTCATAGAATGAGTTTGGAAGTATTCCCTCCTCTCCTACTATTTGGAAAACTTTAAGGAGGATGGGTCTTGGTCTTCTCTTAATGTTTGGTAAAATTCAGTGGTGAAGCCATCTGGACAGGGGTTTTGTTTTTAGGTAGTTTTTTGATTACCAATTCAATTTAGTTGTTGGTAATTGGTGTGTTCAGACTTTCTGTTTCTTCTGGGTCAGTCTTGGAAAGTTGTATTTTTCTAGAAAGT